TTTTTTTTTTTCCCATCTTCCCCAGCAATCCTGCTGTTTATTTATTTATTTATTTATCTATTTAAATACAACAGAAACAAAACACAGATGACAAATCTATTTCAGCCTCCAACAGTCAGTTTGAMTAACTGGGTCATAAAACAAAAGGACAGCGTTTATTTGTCTCCAGGCACCTCGGCTGTTGTGCAAATCCAAAATGTGGCAGCACCAACGAGCTGAGGGATGAGGACACTTCCTCATTTCGATATCGGGCTCTTGGCACCCCCAAACAAAAGAAGAAAAAAAAACAAGGGGAAAGAAATCCGTTTTTGTAATTTTTGACAGTGAATCCAGTCAGCTTTGGGGTGGGAACTTGTAATTGCTGGGAGTGTTTGGTGATTGAATAAAAACATCTCAGTGTGGGTGGTTTTACATCTTAGGTTTGTATTTTTATTCACACACACAAGGAGGGGAGATTTAGATGGGATATCTGGAAAAAATCCTGGCTGGGAGGGTGGGGAGGGGCTGGGATGGAATTCCCAGAGAATTCCTGGATCCCTGGCAGTGTCCAAGGCCAGGCTGGACATTGGGRTTGGAGCATCCTGGGATGGTGGGAGGTGTCCCTGCCCATCAGGGAAATGGGAATGAGACAATTTTTAAAGTCTTTTAAACCCAAACCATTCCCTGATTCCACAATTTCATTCCATGCATTTCTTCAGCATGGCCCTCCTGTCAGCAATGAGAAGTTGATGCAAAAAATACGGTCCAGAAATGAATCAAAAGCACCCAAAAATGAACCAAAACAACGAATTTCACCAGAAGGGTGTGATCACCACCTGCATGGCACAAAATAAAGCATTTCCCTGAAGGATTGAATCCCCTCTCAATTTCACCGGACTTTTGTTCACGCAGCACATAAAAAGGTCAGGGAGGAGGGTGAGAGTTGAGCAGGTAATTGAGTGCAGATTCCTGCTCTGCAATTATAATTTAGCCAAGCTTCGGTGGCTCTGTACAATTTGGAGGTGGGGCAGRACAGAGCTAGAAATTGATATTTATAAGGAAAGCTAAACATCTTTAAATTGATGCCTCAGGATTTCAGTTTCTCTATTTCCAYGTCTCTCTATCCCTGTGATTCTTCAGTGTTTAACTCCAGACTCCACAGACRGTGYTSAGCTCCTGTTCTCCTATTTTTAATAATTTTTTGGAAGTTTTGTCAGCTCCGAGTGAYGCCTCAGGATTTCAGGATTTCTCTTTTTCCACATCTCTGTACSCCTGGAATTCCTTAGYGGATCACTSCAGACTCCTCAGGATTTTTTAATTTCCACRTCTCTGTACCCCTGTGATTCTTCWGTGTTTAASTCCAGACTCCACAGACAGTGCTGAGCTCYTGCTCTCCCATTTTCACACAAAACAATTCCTCTGCAGCCCCAAACTCAAGGACACCTCCCTGTCCTTGCAGGGAGGATATTAAAAATATCCACTAAAAAGGCAACAAAAACACAGATATTAAAAATATCCACTTGATAGCAAAAACACCTCCCACTGTCCCAGGGTTCTCCCAGTCCCAATGTCCAGCCTGGCCTTGGGCACTCAAAGGGATCCAGGAATTCTCTGGGAATTCCATCCCAGGCAGGAATTCCCAATTCCCCAGATCCCACCCCAATCTCCCCTTTTCCACTCTGATCCATTCCCTGTGTCCTGTCCCTGCAGCCCTTGGCCCCAGTCCCTCTCCAGCTCTCCTGGAGCCCCTGGAATGTTCTGGAAGCTCTCCCTGGATCCTCTCCCTGGAGATTTTTCCTCCTTGGTTGGGTCCTGTCACTGCTCAGCCCCATTCCCAGAGCATCTTTTCATCCTGAAGAATTCATGGAATTGTTGAACTCATGGAATTGTTGAATTCAGGGCAATGGAGCAGGAACAGCTTTGATCTGCCTGGTCCAATTTCTGCTACACTTGTGTTTCTTACCTGAAAAATGAACTCCCAAATCCCGTTTCTCTGTTTTCATCTTCTTGGAAGTGTCCCCATCCCTGGGAATGCCCAAGGCYGGGCTGGACATTGGGATTGGAGCACACTGGGACAGTGGGAGGTGTCCCCATGCTAGGGGTGGCACTGGGTGATCTKTAAGSTCCTTCCCAACCCAAACCATTCTGGAATTCGATGAATTTTGAGGATAATTCTCAAAATCAGTTTTCAYTGCTTTTCCATCTCCTGACTTTTTCAGAGCCTCATATCCAACCACCCTCCCCTGCCTGTCTGATAAATACTTTAATAAAGTCAATCAACAATAAATCAGTGATTTATTGTCATTTTATTTATTGTCATTTTTCCCAATCTATGGCACTTCCTGAATATCTCACAGCAAACCCATCTTCTAATTCTCTGTTTCACCAGTTCCCCACTGGGATAATTCATTTTACTCCCAGCTCAAACCCGTCTCGGCTCATTTTAATCCTGGATTTCACACTTAATATTCCTCACTCCTGGATAAAAAGTGACACCAGAATCATGGAATCCATCATAAAGACGTTTCATCCGTAATAGAAGAACAAATTGCTTAATGTTTTTCTCCTTTTTATTTATTTTTTTT